GTATTTTAAAAGCTAACAAAAGCAGTAGCATTTACAAATAACAGCGTATCTAAAAGTATGAGAAAAAAAAAAAAAACATAGGCCTACCATTAAAAACTGTGCTTGCACAGGTTCTGCGTCAACTGGGCTCAAACTGATAAGCGATATTAACGACGCCGCTACAACCGGAGCACATGCCGCTGAGGTGAGGGGTGGGACGATTAGACGCTCACTAGAGGCAGTTTAGCCAATCACAACACACTGGGCTAGCTAACCAATCAGAGCCCATTGCCTATTTCCGAGGGAGGGGCTTCATAAAAGAAGGAAATGATCAGTGCGTTTTTCAGAGAAGGGACAGAGCGGTGTGGAATAAAGGTAAATTATGTGAAAAATACTGCGTTTTTTAATGTGTTTAAAGCATTAACACATGTTAGACTGCACCCCATAAACACAATCAATCCTAGAAAAAAAACAATGAACCACCCCTTTAAGAATAGCTGAAATCTGGAAAAGTGCCTTTTGAAGCAGAGTATTTCCAAATTATTTATAATGGCACTAACATAAGATGAGATCTTTATTGTGATGCGAATGTTACTCTCACAGTTACGTGAAAAATTTCCCTCATGCCATTCAAAAGCATAAGGCTGAATTTTGAATTGGAGCATTTAAGATTAATAAAAGGACACAAAAGGCAGTAAAAGTATTATAAAAGTGCTCAAAATGACTTGTGTTTCATATTTTCTCCAGCTGTATGATAGTTTTATATGATGAACCGATTGAATTCATTATTGAATCTTGACTTGTTAACATGGTCACTGCCTTCCTTGGGTTTCAAAATGAAAGAATCTTTAAATGAATATCATTATTAAAGCACATCATAAAGGTAAATGTTTAGGAACAGAGGTTGCTTTTGATCGAAGTCTGTATTACTGATTTATCACTTTCTGACCAGGTGTCTCTTCTCTCTTCCTTTTTGCTGGTCACAGAAACGCAGTCCGGTAAGTGTCTTTTAACATTATTTTTCTGTTCCCCAAGTGCTTGAACCACTTTGTGATTCAGTTGAAACAGTTATACAGGAGCAGATTAGATGTTTAGAGAGACATGATACTTCCATGTAATGATATTTCTGTATAGAAATGCAAAGGTCAGAATCAGTATCAGTTTTTTATTATTAAAGTATAATAATGACTACTTTTTATAGGCATCACTATTAGTTAACTAATTAATTTAATTAATTTAGCTAATTAAAAGGCCAGTGTGAATAGAAATAATGCTTACTCATTTACTCACTTACCATGTGACCAAAAATGCTTGCTTTGGAGATCAAACTAATGCCTTTTTATCATTTGTAGTCTGGGTGTTGTAGAGCCTTAGCATAAAGCAAGTTCTTAATCTAAATTTGACTATTATCTAAATCTGAAACTATTATCTGAATTATCATCCGAATAAAATATTTCATATTTTAGTACAAAGAATTCCATTTTGATGATTGAAAAACGAATGCTGTGTTCTTTTATTTGAAATTCCCAGCCACCATGAAGAACCTGATGTAATAATATTTATGACAGTCTTATTTGTTACTAATGCATCAGTGAGTCAGATAAGATTGTTCACGTTTAAGATTGAGTCAATCAGAGGAATCAGCTTTTCTGTCAGCTGTAGAATGCATTATGAAACAGCTATTTACAAGGCATCAAGGCAATGCCTCTGTCTGAATTTGCCTCACCATTCCCTTGATTAAATTGTCCTAAAATGCACACTTCTCAGCTGATGAGCGATGTGGTGTTATGAGCTTTTAGTCTTATGAATGTTTTGGCCTTCTGTTTGTTTTAGGGGCTGGCAAAAAGAAATCCCGGTAAGTATATGTAATGCAATTTATTCTTGGGTTTATGAGTTTGGTGTCAATTCAAATCTGACACTAAATAGTTGTCTGGAATTAAAATGTGAATATAAAGGTGTGCTTGCATGTGTATGAGTAGGTGCAGTTTATTTGTGTTCATTTGATCATGCTGTTATTCTCAGGTGAAGAAATTGCACGACCGAGACGTCCTGTTCCAACGCCTGCACCAGCTCCCGTCCCTTCCCCGACACCTGCACCTGCGCCCCCTCCTGAGCCTGCTAGGTATCTATGCACACATTTACAGACTTAATGAAACAGTAATTTTGTCTGTTGTTTCCATGGTTATTATTACAAATACAACTAGCAAAAAAAATGTATTAACTAAAATAAAACAAAAAAGTGAACGTATATAAATGTTACAAAAGTTGCATTTTGATTCTAAATGTAGTGGTAAATATTTGCAGATAATTTTATTATCTGCAAGTACTGCAGTATGCCATGCGATTGTGAATTTGACAAAGAAACTGTTAATCTGAATGGTATTATTTTGAGTGTGGTGCTGGTGCAGTGTAAACTGCAGTGTGCATCATTACATGTAGATGGAACAATTTGTGCTGGAACTAAAATGTCTAGAATTGAAACTAAACAAAAAACTAAACATTTATTTTTAACAAATAAAATAAAAAAGTATTTATGCACCGTTTTATCCAATTAAACTATGTAAAACTTAAATTGAAAACCAAAATAGAAAACAGAATAAAAAATTTAAAAAATAGTTACATTTTAAAAAGTGTGGCTATACAGTATATAACCCTGGTCGTTGTGGCTTAGCGTTGTTTAAACATTTGTTGATGTTTAAGTGAGTGTAAATGGATTATGTTAGACAATTTGAGAATTGCAGCCTGGTGTGCATCTGTGTGGATGAGTCATGCAAATCTGGCTTAATTCTCCTCCATTTCAGTAATAAGAAATCTCCAGTGCCAGAGGATGCAACAGCCTTATTCGGCCCTCCGCTGGAGACAGCCTTTGATGAGCAGAAGACCACTGAAGGTACTGTTTAATGAAACAGCTAATTACTTACCCCTTAGTGCTGCTTATAGATGTTGATCTTTCATTTATAAAATAACTGAAATTTAAACATTCACAATCCAACAGAACCTGATCACAGCCCAGATTCTTTATGTCCATGTCATTCACTTGAACAAAAATTCATTTTTCTATGTCATATACAGTATGTATCTTCAAGGGACTCACAGAGGGTATAAAAATGACATTTATTTTTCAGCTAAAAGTATTTAAGAATACTGTTTGTTTGTATGCTTCTATTATCAGTGCTATTTTTTTAGCTTTGTGTAACATATACTTCAGAACAGAACATTCATTAGTGCTTACTAGTTGTGTTGCCTCCCACTCGATTCCATTTGCAGCAGTTGAAATGAAATCAGTTAGATTTATGACAGAAACAGGGATAGATAAGTGTTGCATGGTGATTCCTTCCTCTCTGTGAGTCACACAGTTAATTCTGCTCCCCCATCGACTGTGTAACATGTCCTCTTCCATAAATTAGTGGTGATAGAGGAACCTGAGGTTTGGGGTGCACCCCTGCCTGAGCAACACCTAGACTCCTCTCTGGCAAGACCTTTTCCTACAGAAAGTAAGTCATTGCTTGTGTGGCATGATTGCCATCATCCTGGTATCATAAACCCATACGTTCCAAAACAGTGAACGGTTGTCTGAGTGGAAAAATCATGATTGCCTCCAAATTTTTATTTTAATAACTTTCCCTTTGGCAGTCTCCATTAACCTACTAATTTCTAAGTCATTAGCCAGGAAAACAGACAAAATCCTGAGAGTCATCCAGCTCATCTTGTACTCATGTCATTTGGTGACGGTTTACTCAGCGTGGCCTATTTTTATGTCTGCCTAATCGTCTAAAAAGCTAAGTGACACTGAGCCTAATGTGTGAGTTGATTTAAGCTTAAGGCTATATGAAGTTTGGCTTGCTAATAGTGATATATTTCTAAATGTATTTTTACATAAATGTGTCAATACTAGGGCTTGCATGACTACTAATATTTTTTACTAGATGACTACTCGTCTAGGAAAGTAGTCAGCTGCAAAATGAGTCGGTGTTTACCTTATGTAAATGACTGAAAGACTGGTCTGACAGCCAGCTGGAAAGTTTGTCTAACACAGCTAACATGATCTGGGTGAGAAAGTTTAAAATGGTAAAGCGCTCCAAATATTTGCCCATTACAAGTTACTACTCAAGGCTAATAACATGCAGCTGAACTGGGATGCAATTTTCGGGCAGAGGAATTATCTTCCTGTTGTCGCCACATAAAGACTATACTAAAAAACGCTTTATTTATCCATTATACTCTGTGAGAATCATATTAAGCGTGATATTATAAAGACATGTTATAAATCATTAAAATAATAATAATAATAGAAAAACAGATTTGTCATTGTTAAAAACTAGGAATGTCAATCAAATAAAATAAATGATTTCTGACCAGTTAATTGACAGCAGAACACAATAGTAATGATGTAAGCTTCGGTGTTTGTGTTATTAAAAATACAGTGTTAATTAAGCATATTTATTATTTTATAAACATGTTTTTTTTTCAAGCTTGAAAAAAGAATTTTTCTGGACTTCTAAGCAACCTTGCAGCCCCATGATGGTCCACATGCCCCAATTTGAAAACCTCTGGACTAAAGGACTAATTATAGAAATTATAGACTAATTGACTAGTCTGTGCAAGCCCTAGTAAGTGCATACTAAACAAATAAGTGATGTTTCTACATATATTAACAAAAAAAAAAAAATGTAACATCCTAAATAATATGAAAATAGTGTGAATAGTTGGTCACAAAGAGTGAAGTGTTATCATAGAGTCTGAGCTATTCATCCCATGCCACAGTCCTTCTCTGTTGTCCCTGACTACCTGAATGAGACCTTGCCTTTGCATGGTGCTGTGGGGCATGGTGGCGTGGCCTACGGTGGGTCTGGGGTGTATGTGAGAGCTTGTCTCAGCCGCACTAATGTCATTGCAGCTCTGCCTCCGCTTCCACCTAAGAATGTGCCGACCTCCCCCCCTCCGATTGAATCTCCTGCTACAGAACCTACCGGTAAGATGCCCTCACCACCCAGGCCTCAGTCTATACCAGGGGTGTCCAATCCTGCTCCTGGAGGACCACGGTTCTGCAGACTGTATTTCCAATCCCAATTAACCACACCTCAACCAGCTAATCAAGGTCTTGAGGAATACTAGAAACTTTGAGGCAGGTCTGTTGGGGCACATTGGAGCTAAACTCTGCAGGAAGTTGGCCCTCCAGGTGCAGGTTTGGACACCCCTGGTCTATATCAATATCTGATCCCAATGAGTGTGTGTCTGGATTCATTTGTGCTTGTCTTTTGGTACTCTGTCTTGTAAATATCTCTTTTGTAGGGAAGAGCTTTACTTGGTATCTCTTGCCTTTTCCTTTGTCTTTCCTTCTGCTTTTAGTCTGCTTATGATTTTTCTGTTTTTCTATGACATTTGTGTAGTTCCTGATGCAGATGGGCAGAAAGAAGAGGAACATTCAAGGCAGACCTTGCAGAGGCCCTCTATAACTGATCTAGACAACATCTTTGGCCCAGAAGACTCTCCAAAACCTGGCCAAGATGTTGGAGATAAGTGGGTCTGCTTCAATGATGAGTCGCCTGAAAGACCTCCTCCTCCTTCAGAAGGAGAGCCAGCACCTCCACTCCCCTCATCTCCACCTCCCCCAGCAGAACCAGCACCCCCATTACCTAAATCACCCCGTCCATCAGAGGAACCGAATCCTCCTTTACCAAAATCTCCACCTCCTCCTGCAGAGCCAGCACCTTCTCCTCCTTCCATTGAGTCACCAAAGGATAGCCTCCCACCTGTTCCCAAATACACCACTCCTTCTCCTCCAACTGTCCCGCCTCCTCTGGTTGAAGAGGCCCCACCCCCACCGAAATCAGATGATCTTTCTCACTCCATAGTAGACTTTTCACTATGTGCTCCCCTGACAGAGACCCAATCAGACTCAACCAACAGCCCGCCAACCACTGTAGAGACAAGTGAACGCACAATCCCTCCACCCTTAGTTCTGAACCAAGAGGACAAGAAGAGCCCTGAAGAGAACCCAACAAAAGAGGACCCAAGTGAGAGCAGTGCTTCATCCAAAGAGATTGGTCAAGGACCACGTTCAACACCTCCTCCTCCTCCACCTCCCTCATACAGGGCAGTAGTGTCATCCCCAGGGCCCGTCCCTCCAGCTGGTACGAGTGGCGAGTCTTCTCCTTCTGTGTGCCCTTGTAAAACGAAAGTTGCTCAAGTTTTGGCATTTCATTGGCAAAATAATCGTTAGTTGCAAACTTGTTTTATTCTGTTGATAATTTTGAAAAAGTTTTTAATTCTGAATAACTAAACCTGGCTTTCACCATTGGCATAGCCAAAGAAGCTGACATGGTGTTAAAAAAGGGAGAAAAAAAAATCATAAGTTGCAGCCCTAACCTTAGGTGAACTAACCCTCAAACAATGGCAACCAGTAATATTAAAAAAATCCACGTTATGGAAAAAACTAATTTTGATTTATAGAATATAACCTAAGGCAATAAGCAGTAACAAAAGGTTCTGCATGTTGAAATACATATAAATTTCAAGTCGTTCTACTCCAGTCACCACCATGTTACGTGTAAATGGGTTTTTACAGGAGCACCGCCTTAGTAAGAGGGATGAAGGGTATCTGACACTTTTTGCCTCATTATTTTCTATATAAAGGCACATTGAGTCTTACTACTGCATTTTTGGGTTTCATATTTTGGCAGTTTCAAGTTTTAATGTTTTTGTTTACAATGTTTCTGTAATCTCTGCAGGTTTCTGTGTAAAGTGTGATGGTTCTCTTAAAGTTTTATTTAATCTGAGCAGATTGGCTTGTATAGGTAATTTCTGAGGCTATTCCAGTCAAGTATCATACATTCTTGAATGTACAATCATTTTATTTGAATTGGGAAGAAATCTTAATTGAGCTTGATGCATGTTACTCTTTGAATGGCTTTGCTTTAATGGAATACTCTCGCTCCACAGGCTCCTCCTCCCCTGCACGTCCTTCTACGCCATTGGCTACCAGCAGCTCTCCTCCTCCCCCTCCCCCTCCTCGGCCACCCTCACGACCCAAACTGCCTCCTGGAAAACCAAGTGGAGGTGACGTGGTACGTGATAACATAAAAATTGTTTACAGTACTTTCAAATACTATTACTGTGCCTGTTAGTTTCCTACAAATTCTCAATGTCACTGACCTTTTCATAGACTATGTAATTTTTTTTACTTTTATAGGATATCAGAACTCACCCCTCAAAATACCAGACCAAGCCTAGGTTGATATTTACTACCCATGTAATACTAATGTTTAAATAAAAACCTTAAGTTTAGTGAAACAAAATGCAAGAAACACTGCCACAGCGTGCTTTGTGTAAATTTCCTCCTGATCATCTGACCAGAATGACAAACCCCTACTCTTTTATTACTAACTTTCCTTCTGTCTGTTCTTCCTTTTCCCTGCTTTTCCTGTCAGAATCGGCCATTCAGCCCCCCTGTACACTCGTCAAGTCCCCCTCCTTTGGCTCCGTTGGCCCGTGCAGAAAGCACCTCTTCAATCTCCTCCACCAACTCTCTGAGTGCAGCCACCACTCCCACCGTCGGTAAAGAGCTCTCCGTGTCTGTGTCAGGTGTGACTCCATTTCCCATCATTCTCTCTGCTTTGCCATGCTGCTCTGTCTATATGTGTCCGCTCTGGAAATTGCCTTTCTAACTAGAATTTGCCATAACAAGGGCATCTGTTTCTCAAGGGCCTCTGTTTCTCAGTATTTAGCACGGTTTTGAATTCACTGTCGTAATAGTTTCACAGCTTTGGCTTTAGTTTGGACCAAAACAGTATGGTGATGATGCTGTTGAGTTTAAAATACTGAAGTGAAATCTCCAGCATTCTGCATTGATTAATTGGTTTGCTAAAAATACAGATTTGCTGATACACCACATAATAGTTTGTATTTCAGTTTGTCTTTTGTCATATTTAAGTGGAAATATTGTTAGGATTAATTGGATATTATAGATCAGGGGTCTCCAACCTTTTTTACACCACGGACCGGTTATATTTTGAAAATATTCTCGCGGAGCGGCTGGAGTGGGGTGGGGTTTATATATATATATATATATATACTGTATATATATAATTTTAGATCATATTGTGGTTTTGATTCACGGATCAGATTTTTTAGATAAGCAAGAAAAAATATATTTAAAGCAGAGAATGAGAATGCTGAGAAGGGTTTTTTGACATAAGCTAATTTTATGTGTATGAATCTCAAACGCAATGAGACGTGAAAGAGGAATCAACTCGGTATTCGCGCACTGTCTGAAACACGTCTCTGTGCGTGTGCGTGCTTCGGGTGCATGCGGCTGCTATGCACAGAAAACAGTGCGTGAGTAACGAATCGAGCTCTCTTTCGCTTCTTCTTCTTGTGGTTTAAAATCGCTTGAACTTGTAAATTGTCAAATTAATCTGCGAATCACATGTGTGCCGAACTGTGGGGCCTGGTCCATATGTATCACGGATCAACGGTGATCCGTTTAACCCCTAATATATGACAGATCAGAACAATCATTCATTTAATTGAACATTTAATTTACATGAAATCATCAAATTGCTACTCCATAGCAATCGCATACAACAAACGAAAATACAGAATAATTAGAACAATCATTAATGGGCAATAAAAAACAGAGTGTTATATCTATACACTTTTTTCCCAGAACGTTCTTGCGACCTGGTGGCAACACTTCCATGGCCCGGTGGTTGGGGACCTCTGGTATAGATAAAAAGATTTAATCTGTCTTTGCATTGTAGAAAATAAACAAAGACCTAAAAAGACATATTTTACCATTTAAAGAAAAATTACTGTAAACAGATAACATACAAACCTAATAAGCTATTTGTGTCTTTGCTGGACTTTTTGAAATGCCATGTATGGCATCTGCTGTACCAGTTTGAATGCTTTTATTGGATGCTTTCATTGATGCTGGACAAGTAGTTTTTTGTTCTGTATTTTCAGTATCAGCGTTTCCTGAGGTTTGCAAACTACTTTGTCTTGTGAATCAAGAGTTTTTGATTCTAGAGCTTTTGGTGTATGTAGATCTATCTGTTGCATGTGCTATTCCTTCCTTTTGGATTTTTTTCAGCTTTGGTCATATATTTTTTTTTAACCATTCCATTTTTTTCTTCAGTTTTCATCTTTTTTTTAATTTTAAATGTGTGCTGTGCATTCATTGTGACGTCTGAGTTTAATGACTGTGACCTTTTTGGTTTTCTTTGCAACTATTTGTCATTTAATTTGAATTATGTTTATTTTTTGTTTGTGTTTTGTCGTCTTTCTTGTCCTGTCTTTTGGGCTGACGTAATTGTCTGATGTCAGAAGATGACGCTTTTGTAGACAAACTTCCCAGCTTTGAGAGACGGGCAGACATGCCAGCAGGTATGCTATAAACCCTTCCTGATTTAAAGGATGGGATTGAGACCACTGATTCAACAATGTAACAAATGGTTACATTTCCCATAGTGTCAGTTGTCAGAGCATAGCTCATTCATGGTGATCTTTTGCATTTTCACCAGTGACTAAATTAGTCAATAAGATAGAAAATGAGTTGATTTTCACGTAAAGAGTCATTAAAGGAATTTTCCGGGTCATTTATTACTTACTGTCCATGGGCAGAATCTGTGGCTCATTGTTGATTACAGCACTTATAATGGAAGCTTGGCATTAAAGCTGCCAGCACAGCCAATAAACTTTTAAAATATGTTACTCTCACAGTACAAACCTTAACTAATGGAATGGATGCTTGATAGCAGACTGGTGTGTTAAAACTGCACGCAGTCTTGTCTGTGCAAAGTTATATAACTCATGTCTGCAAACTCCACTGGTTTTGCTGATACATTTGGTAACTAGAAAATTCTCCATATAAACAGGTAGTCTCACATCAAACAGATAATTTAGACAAATTTACGGTTTAATCAAAAATTGATAGTTTGTATTATCAACCCTGATTGGATGAGCTACAGTTGAAGCTGGTGAAAAATAATATATAGTAAATTATTGTAAAATAAAATAATAATAAACACACACCTGTGTCCAGAAATTCTACATTAATTTCATAATAATAATAATAATAATGCTTGACAGCTGCAAAATCCTACAGTTTGGTTATTGAACAATTTTTTTTTACTTGGCAGAAGAATTATAGCAGTTATTATTAATAAAAATTAAACATTAATTAAAAATGTCTTTTATCATATTGCTGTTGCTACTGTTGTATGAAATGATACATTTTGTTTATTTTTTTATAAACTTATTTTTATGTAGTGATCAGCAGCATTCTTCAAATTCTGTCTATAAACAAAGTTGTAAATAACCCAGAATATTCCTTTAACTCACCAAAGACTGTTCAGCATTTTTAGCATATCTGTTTTGAAAAGTGTTTTTTCCCCTCTACTTTTGTCATGTTGATTACAGTCCAACACTATTTGCCACAGTATTTACTTCATCCATTTTTAATTCTTCCTGTCATATTTTGCTCTTCACATCCATAAAAGAAAACATGTCTGTAGCTCATCATGCATGTTAGAGATTGCTTCGCCTGTATCAGTTACGCAACATCCCACATCTTACATCTGCACTCAAGAACCAGGAACAGAAGAGTCTTATAGGCCTTGAAAATCATCTGTCTGGCTGTAGACTCTTCAGAAAACTGAAAGAGCACCACCATCCTGCTTGAACAGATGAGACAGACACACACACACACAGCCTCTCAGTGTTTGAAGTGCGGTCTGGAATTTGACCCAAGTGGCAGCAGAGCTGATCAGTATGCCTGCCATCACACTAGTTTGAATGGAAAGCTCTCTGATGTTGCACCTGGGTAAAAGCATTGCTAACATCGTCATGCTGAAAATGTCAAGCTTTACTGCCACATAATTTTAATCCTCACAGGTGAAATTCACATCTTTAAATTTTATCATCAACATCCACACCACCTATGCTGCATTTCATTCAAAATCAAATGTAGCATATTCCTACTTGATATTTCCAACCATTAAGTGCCTGATGCTTGGAGGATAAGGAAACAAAATGACATTGCCTTTATCTTTGCAATCGTTTAATTGTCAATAATTCCAATATATTGTCAAATGAAGTAAAAACATATAAGAAACCAGATAAAAATAGAAACAATTTAATGTATTAACATGTATATCTAGCTCATACAAATATGTTTATGTATGTATAATATATGTCCATCCTAAAATCTGACAATACATGGTATTTTTTTTAATTCATGGTAAGTTTGTAAGAATTTAGACTCGATATATAAACATAAGATATATATATATATATCTTCTGTTGCACTATTCCAGGACTTTCTGAGTTGAAGGGAACGCAGCATTAGAACATCAAATTTACAGTTCAAGATAACACATTGAGATGCTCAGCATTACTGTACAAATCACATCTTCTCATTGCTTAAGTGATCTTCACGTCATTCGTAGTCCTGGTCCTGGTTTTGTCTGAAATTGTATCACCCCTCTCCAGCACAGTAGAAGAAGCCCTCATTTACATTTCCCTCTTGTGTCACTCATTACTGCCCCCTTTTGCCCCTCATCCCAACTGCAGCTACCTCCTCCCATTCACATATCAGACATGAAGAAATATACATGATATACTTTTCACAAAATGCAGGCTCTAGCTTCCTACATTCACATTGCACAGATGTTACCAAAATAACAAAAAAATTGTTCACCCAAAAATGAAATTCTGTCTTTTATTCACCCTCATGTTATTCTAAACCCATTTGCTGTTATTTCTTCCATGGAACAAATCACACTGAAATGAAATTATGAGAAATTATTATGAAAGCACCATAAAAATTGTCTGTATGACTTTGTGATGTGTGAGGAGCGGACTGAAATGTAAATCACTATATGCTGATAATCTTCTTCTCCAGCAAGGATCATTAACCTCAAGAATCACATCAGTGAAGAATACATTCATCAATAACTTAAATTTCAGTCTGTTCCTCACACAAAGCTATTGTATGGCTTCAAAAGACTTAGAATATTGTGCAAAATTCCTAAGGACTACTGCTGGTGATACAAGTCACTTTAGATACCAACATCTTCTTAATGAATAAACGTAAATGTAACATAGTTGGCAGGATGTTGGCATTTAGAATTTTGGAGGGAAAATGAACAGCGTACAACCCCGTATACTGTTATTTTAGTTTATTTATTTATTTATTTTTTTCATCAAAAGGGTGTGACATCAAAACGTCAGTGACAGAACTTTCCATTTTGGATGATTCGTTCCTTCAGAAGTTTAAGTATAAGCTGTTTAACGTCATCCTTGAATCTAAAGGCTTTAATTCGTAAGCAGCTCAAATCATCTCCAGCTTTCATCTGTCCTGATATTATACGTAAATAAATCAGAATTTTGAAATATTTGTAAGAGCATAATTGTACTCTCTGAATCTCCCCAGATTTAAAAAATATTGCTTCTCAGCTGTCATTGCACATTAAAATAGAAGTTTGCACATGCATTGTTATTAATAGTAACTATAAATCTGAAGCTAATAGTAGCTGTATGTCACCTTATTTTCATACTTTGAGTCTTGCTTCAAATAAAATGACTGATAACTACACAAAGATTGAATTAGATTGATTTCTTTTTTGCCCAGTGTGCTGTACAACATTTGTGAATGTTTCACATATCATAGTCATTTCCGTCTGGGGTGAATTGTGACCGTCTTTGACCTGTGCCCCTGGCCCCCATCACTGTGCCATATGATGGACCTGTGTGTGACTCACGCTACTGTCCTTCTCTCGCCCTTCTCCTTTCCTGCCTCTCCTCACTCCCCCCATCCTTATACCTCCTCCCCCTCCAACACAGAGACAGACCAGCCCTCCCTCGTGTGGTTTGACAGAGGCAAGTTTTATTTAACATTTGAAGGTAAGTTGGGGTTAATATCTAAGGACGTAGCGCGTGCACACTCAAGTCTCATCTGACATCTGACTTCCCCCTCTTTCTCACGCATTCGTTCCTTCATCAAAACCAACTGTGACACATTTGCTTGTCCTCCACACATCTGCTTTGCTCTGTATACCTGCTTTGCCATTTAACTGTTCATCTTACAGTCATTGGTAGGTTTTCTTTTCTTTCAAGGATCATCATATTTTTACCTTCGTCACTAATACTGTGTGTTTTCTCGTTCTTGTTGTTTTGTGGCTCGTCTGCTTTGATCTCTTCATTTCGACTTTGGTCTTGGATCATGACACTATGATTCAGCTTCAAATGCATGCCATTGAAGCTGAGTGTTTTCTGTTTCAACTTCCTTTCTTTTTCTCTTCCATCTTTTGCATATATTACACTTATCCTTGATAGTTCTTATGAGTCCAAATGAATGGAATTGCATTCCAATTTAAAATTTAAACTAGAATAGAAAATGTGGAAAAGCATACATTTTGTGTGTTTAAAAAGAAATAAAGTAAAAATAAAGAAAAAGAATACAAGTTGCATCTGCTAGAAATGGTACTAGACCTGTTGTTGTATAATTTATGCTTACAATTTGAAAAATGTAATTTTATTGTTATGATTTTGTGTAAAATCTGAAATTGTTTTCCTAACTTTGAAACAATGTCCATTTGTTGTTCCTCAATATTACTCATAATCATTAAGGAACCGAAAGCATTGGAATTGGAATCTGCATTAGAATCATTAAATTCATTATAATTCTCATCCCACTCACACAAAGCCAGATTTAATATTCCTTAAAATCAATAAAAATGTTATGTTAATTAATACAGGTATACTTTGTGGTTTTAATGCCAATTTATTTACAAGTGTCTTTGCTACTTACTTGATCAAATTCAACCATATAAATAACTGCACATTTTTACTTTAGTTAAATGTCACGCCTAAGTTTCTTTTTTTTTATTTTTTTTTTTAATTATTATTCTTGAAACCAGAGTGTTGAACTTGTGTGTGCATGTTGTTGTATGGGCATCAATTTGTATTCCTCGCTAGTGAACTGCCCTTTGGGAACTAATGCTTGAGGTGAAATCTAATCATGATTGGCCTATTCAACATTCAAAATTTGAACAAGCTTGCTTAGAACAGGACAATACACTTTTACTGACAAGTCCTAACAGTGTGGTCAAGCAAAGTAAACCGAAAATAGAGTCCATCTGAAGAAGGCATTGTTTTAGATTTTAGGTCTGGGTTTAAGTGCAAATGAAGAAATTAGTTTTGTCAGCTGCTGATTGTCTCAAACTATGAGATGTTTTGTTTGTCTATTTGTTTGTATTTCCATTTTTCCCATTCTTTGTCACCCATGTATTTGCCTCTGTGTTGTATCTCAGTGACTGATCGAAATTGTGTTTTGTCTGTAAACACACTGTAACTGCGGATGTACGTGTTTTTGTTCTTTCAGGCTGATATATATATATATAAGCATGCATCAGGTATTTTAAAATGTACATAGTGTATTTGTTGATTTTATGTAATTAAAAATGTCATTTGCACCATTTTTTACGTTAAGACTGAATGTACCTGAAAATGTCAAATGGTGTAACTGAAAGAATGAGAAATATATTAAATATTTTATCCACCTAGATGGCATGTAAGCATACTCATAGAAATAAATACATCATTTAGGCTAATGAGGTCTAAGACTAGACTAAATGTCTAGGCTACATTTAGTCATTTGGACTAGACATTTAGTCTAATCATCTCTAAATGTACATTTTAATGCATTTTTGCAATATTTGGCAGGACATATGCTGAAAACACCTCTGTTTTCAAAATAATCTTTGACAAATTATGTAAACATTGTTAAAAAAACATGTTATTACACTAAACTAGATGATTACATTTTATTCCACATTAATTTTCCTGTATATAATTATATTTTTAGGAAAAATACTGGTTACGCCAATTGACACAAACCAGTTACACCACCTGACCATGTTGCTTCTACAGCCAAAGGCCATTGTTGCTGAAGAAATTGACATTGAAAATCAAGCATGACAGTCAACAAGTTCAGCTGAAGTGTTTTTTGTTTTTTTCAATGCTGAAAACAACATCTGGCAACAAGAAATCATCATAGTGATGAAAAGTGAAGTCATGTCTCGTATTGTAATTACAGTTAAGAAACAAAATCCGATACCAAGAAATTATCAGAGTGATGAACAGTGAACTCAAGTCTCGTGTTGTAATTTTAATTTTCGTATTGTAATTTTGTATTGTAATTTCGTATTGTATTGTGGCATCTATTGGGGGGAAAGGGGCTGTGTTATATCGTATTAATTATAAAATATTAGAAATTTAATTAATTGTATTTTACAGATGTAAATTGTAATCTTTGGTCAACATTTCTTTTATCACTGAATTTATGTTCAAATGTAGACACCCACTTCATTCTGCAACATTATTAAAATCATGTATGTATATATTACATTATATTATATGATATTATATATTGCTTAAAGGGATAGTTCACCCAAAAATGTACTCACCCTCAAGCCATCCTAGGTGTATATGACTTTCTTCTTTCAGACGAATACAGTCAGATTTGTATTTAAAAATGTCCTGGCTCTTCTAAGCTTTATAATGGCAGTGAATGGGTGGTAATATTCAATAGTTCAATAGAAAGGCCTCCTGAAGCGAATTGATGCATTTTTGTAAGGAAAATATCCATATTTAAAACTTTATAAACCGTAATCTCTAGCTTCCGCTAATTGACGTACACACATTCACGAGAGAGTGGCGTTCCAGCAGATGATGTAGGATGTAGGCGTAGCGTAAGCTCAGGTGAGAATATGCTAGTCTCGCGAGAACCAAGTTTTGTTTACAACAAAGGAAAACCAGTCTCCTCTTGGCTTATATCAAAATCTTCCGACATTTTTCTTTACAAATCCTAGTTTTGTACTTTTTTGTACATGACCGGTGTTTTGTTTTGCTCTCTCCTCTGTGCTTCCACGTTCATCACTTCTCACCGAAGCTTACGCTGTGCCTACGTCTTATATCATCTGCTGGAACGCCACTGGAACGCAACGATTACGGTTAGGATTAGAGATTACAGTTTATAAAGTTTTAAATATGGATATTTTTCCTACAAAAGCATACCGATTAACTTCAGGAGACCCCCCCTCCCCCCGTGGAACACTTTTTTTATGGTAGATGGATGCAGTTTATTGGACTTCTGTTGGAATATTGAATATCACCACCCATTAACTGCCATAAAGCTTGGAACACCCAGGACATTTTTAAATAAAACTCAGATTGTATTTGTCTGAAAGAAGAACATCATCTACACCTAGGATGGCTTGAGGGCGAGTAAATCATGGGGTCATTTTTATTTTTGGGTGAACTATCCCTTTAAAATTTTAAGTGAATGGAATATAAATATGCATTAAAGCTAAACATTTCAAAAACACTAAAGTTGTGCAACATAATTATTTTATCCTAGACTTACAGAACTTTAATAATAAAGTTGTAGATAAAGCACCACTTTCTCAAAAAATATAGCATTGAACACTTGAAAATAGTTCCAAATAGTAGGTTAGTTTATATTACATCTTTAATCAGCATCATAAACTAGTGATATTTGACTAAATTGGCCCCTAACAGAAAGGCTTGTAATAGGAGGACATTTCAATTTAAAATCAAATTTGACAGGCATTATCATGGACACCTATGTGAGCACATGGCCTTGGTGGGAATATTTCAAAAGTAATTTTTAAAGTTAATACATACCATTTGACATGTATACCTAAGAATACCTGACCATACCCTAAGTAATAATAAATAAATAAATACTACATAACATACATTTTAAACATTATTTTAATATAATTTAAGAATAATACTATTTTAAATGAATATAACATTAAAATTATTTGATGTATTATATTTAAATTTGTTATGCTATGATTCCGTTTCTACAGAGAAATAAGCATAAAATATTTTCATTTGCATTTATTCATTTCAGCTGTATCTGAAGGTCACTTGAATTTATTTATTTCTCTGTAGAAACTGAGTCATAGCATAATATATGTATATATGTATGCATACAGTGCCCTCCACTAATATTGGCACCCTTGGTAAATATGAGCAAAGGTGGCTGTGAAAATAAATCTGCATCATTTATTCTTTTGATCTTGCATTCAAAAAATTCTAAATTATCATTGAAGTAAAACAATGGAAAGTGGGGGGGAAATCTCATTATGAAATAAATGTTTTTTTCTAGTTCATGTTGGCCACAATTATTGGCACACAATTATTGCAACGTCTTTTTCCCAAGATAACAGCTCTGAGTTTTCTCCTATAATGCCTGATGAGTTTGGAGAACACCTGAAAAGAGGTTAGAGACCATTCCTTCATACAGAATCTCTCCATATTCTTCAGATTCCCGGCTCCATGCTTCTTCTCTTCAGTTCACCCCACTCATTTTCTATAGGGTTCAGATCAGGGAACTGGGACGGCCATAGCAGAAGCTTCATTTTGTGCTCAGTGACCCATTTTTGTGTTGATTTTGATGTTTGTTTTGGATCATTGTCCTGATGGAAGATCCAACCATGACCCATTATAAGATTTCTAACAGAGGCAGTAATTTTTTATCTGTTGGTATTTGATAGAATCCATGATGCCATGTATCTGAACAAGATATCCAGGACCTCTGGCAGAAAAAATATTAAAGATCCAGTATATTTAACCATGGACATGGGGTACTTTTTACCCCTGTTTGCACCAAACCCATCTGGTGGGTTTACTGCCAATAAGCTCTTTTTTTAGTTTCATCTGACCATAGAAGCCAGTCCCGTTTGAAGTTCCAGTCGTGTCTGACAGCTGAATATGCTGGAGTTTGTTTTTAGATGAGCGAGAAGGATTTTTCTTGAAACCCTCCCGAACAACATGTGGTGATGTATGGGCTGTTTGATATTTATTTATTTATTTATTTATTTTAGGCTTTCTGACCCCAAGACTCAACTCATTTCTGCAATTCTCCAGCTGTGATCCTTGGAGAGTCTTTGGCCACTCAAACTCTCCTCCTCACTGTGCATTAGGACGATATAGGCACACGTCCTCTTCCAGGCAGATCTGTAACATCTTTAGTTGATTGGAACTTCTTAATTATTGCCCTGATGGTGGAAATGGGGATTTTCAATGCTTTAGCTATTTTCTTACAGCTATTTTCTATTTGTGATCAGAACTATATTCCTTGATTTTACTCCTTATGATGGACGATTAAGGGAATTTGGCCTTTGTGTTCCTCATATTTATAATTCTGTGGTACAGGAAGTCATGGCTGGACAATTTCATGCTCCTAGTCAACCTGGTGTGCTAAAAAAAAAAGTAAATATGAATGGGAATATACTTCAGAGATATTTTACTCATAAGAATTTCTAGGAGTGCCAATAATTGTGGCCAACATACATTGGAGAAAAACAATTATTTCATAATGTGAGTTTCCTCCCACCTTTAATTGTTTTACTTCAATGTAAGGTTAAAATTTTTTGAATGAAAGATCAAAATTGAATTATGCAGATTTATTTTCACAGCTGCCATTGCTATATATACACAGTGCCCTCCACTATTATTGGAACCCTTGGTAAAGGGTGGCAGTGAAAATAAATCTGCATTATTCATATTTGTTTTTGTTTTTTATCTTTCAATTTAAAAAAAATTCTCAAAATTACAACCTTTCATTGAAGTAAAAAAAATGAAAGTTTTGTAAAAATATTTTAAAATAATAACTATCAATATTGTAAAATAATACCACTTCTGTTCATTATACTGGTCAATAGAATAAAAAAAAAAATATATATATATATATATATATATATATATATGGTTTACCTATCATCTCTCTCCATCACTCTATTAATCTCTTCTGTCTAGACATCAGTTTTTCATTCTTATTCACTGATGTCCTTTATTACAGTATGTAGGGTCATTCATATAGAATGTGTTTTTTCTTTGAAAAACTCAAGACATATGGGCACTGGAATGAGAAAAAAAAAAGCCAGGTCTTGAGATGCATTTTTTAAAAAGTTGAACTTCTTTTAACTTGAACGTCTGCTTTTTAGAACACCAAACATGTCCATCTAGCACGTGTTTACATAGAAAGACAATGAAAAAGTAGTGCAGTGAAAAGGAAAAAAACTTGTTCTGTGTGAATAGCCCTTATGAAATGTTTTATTGGTCACTCTGTTTCTACACACAACAGACCTTTACTTATGTACGTGTATAATAATGTCACTTTCTAAGGTGTGTGGTGAAGATCACTGGAGAGATGGTGTTGTCCTTCCCAGCAGGCATCACACGGCATTTTGCAAATAACCCCTTGCCTGCTGTGTTAACCTTCAGCATAACCAACTACAGTCGTCTGGAACACGTCCTTCCTAACCCTCAGTTACTGTGCTGGTAATAACATTCATCTAACATCAACTACAACAGAACCTTCACAAACCATAAAATCCATCATATTTATTGACTAGTGATAATTATATATTTCCTCATTAGTCACACAAATTAAGCAGCAGCCATCAAATATATTATCAATTATTGCTTATGCACTTTCATAATTAGTGAGTTAATACTTCAGTATAGCTTAGCACATCCTCTCAGTGTGAGATCTCACTTCAGAATCACTCCGTACAGTCAGCTGAGGGTGACTCACATACTCTATCACTAATCACGTGTGATCTCCACACTTTTGGAGGAGTAGTGTGTCATTGTCTTTTTTTTCTGAGGGGATGCAATCGTTTACTGATCTTGCAAAAGCATTCTTGGCTATATACACTACCGTTCAAAGGTTTGGGGTTTAATGCAAAGTATGATATGCTCACCTAGGCTGCAATTATTTGATCAGAAATACTGTAAAATGGTAATATTTTGAATCATTTTAAATATTTTAAAAATGTAATTGATTTCTGTAATGGCAAAGCTGAATTTTCCTCAGCCATTACTCTAATCTTCAGTGCCACATGACAGAAATCGTTCTAATACGCTGATTTGCTGCTCAGGAAACATTTCTTTTTATCAATGTTGAAAACAGTTGTGCTGCTAAAATTTTTTCAGGATTCTTTGATGAATTGACAGGTCAAAATAACTATTTATTTGGAAATTTAAAAAAACTAGCAAATGTCTTTACTGTCATTTTTGATCAGTTTAATGCATAATTTCTGAATAAAGAAATTTTAAAAACATATTGACCCCAAACTTTTGAAGGGTGTTCAGTAGGGCGGCACGATTATGACAAAAATCATAATTGTCGATTATTCCCTTGAAATTGTAATTGCGATTATTAATTATGATTATCACAATTTACATTGAATGATGTTTATACCATTGTTTGATGCAACTCCATGCCATATTTTTATATGAAAATAAACAAGCTGAAAACACTCTAACTTTTAGTGCTTTTCTATAGTATTAAGCCTCAAATGTCAAATATACATCGGGTTGGCTTCTTCTTTAAATAAAAATATGAATGGTATCATAATGTTACACTAAAACTAAAACAATGGAAAAACCCTTAAGATAACATGTAGAAAAGAAAAAAAAAAGCATCTTAAGCACACAGAATAACATAAGTGGACTTTGAATGATTAATTGCCGCTTTGAACGATTACGTAATTGTGGCATCCATAATTGTAATCGCGATTAGAAATTTGATTAATTGTGCAGCCCTAGTGTACAGGAAGATACAGGAAAAACAGATAATAGCTAATTAATTGAGTATGATTTGCAGATTGAATGCACTTTCAAATTTCCTACAGTGACACCACGCAGCCCAATCCGAACTCAAAGGAGTTCTGGGTGAATATGCCGAACCTGATGACCCATTTAAAGAAGGTGGCGGAGCAGAAACCACAAGCAACTTACTACAATGTAGACATGCTGAAATATCAGGTGAGAACCTCAAAGCAACACTGACTACAGAGACATAAGAGCAGTGTTTGAACTATACCGTGGACTTTGGGGGAGCCCACTTGTTTTTTTTTTTATAA